CTAGTAGTCGATAAATGCTTCGTATTGGCTATTCTAAATCGTCTGAAAGAGCAAATAAATCATTAGTTGACTGGTTTATTTCATCTAAGTACTATCCTAGTTAATCAAATGCTTTAATTTAATACAATTCTTTGACAAAAAATCTCTCATAACAATCTTCTCATTCATGAAAATGATCAAATAAGAAATCATACCATTCGTTTCATAATCTTCTGTGATGAAATGGAGTACCAAAAAAATCTCGATTATATTTAATATTATTCGAGCAGAAATAATATGATAATTTTAAAAATTTTCGTATGCAAAATATTGAATAATAAGCAAATAGTGACATTTTGTTTTTCACTCGATTTTATGATCTTATGAGTTTATCTTACTAATATTTCTTTTCATAATAGTGATTGTTATGACCGAAATCTCAAATAAATTTAATAATTATGTTTCATTTTCTATTGCATAGGATGAAAAAAGTCATTTAATAAGTGAATTAAAAAGTTTACTAAAAGTAAGTTTTTGTTATTAATTCAATTTAGAAAACATTGCGATTTTGTTTTTCAAGATTATTCCACATCGAGCATTACAAAATTATTCAAATATTCATCGTGAATTTCTTGAATTATGCCATACTGTTGTTAAACATACACTTCATGTGGATACAAATAGTTCTTTCAAATATGATGCACGTATAACAAAAATAAAACAACTTATAACAATTAAAACTAAGTAAACGGAAAAAAGTTAAAATATGTTTTTTTTGATTAAAATTAACAAATGTTTTCGAATTTTTCAAAGAGTTTTTGATGATTTAATTCAATTAAATCCGACTATTGATAATGGTAAACATTGATTCTTGATTAAATTAAAAATTATTTTAATATATTTAACAGAAAATCGAGAACGAACAAGTTCATCAACAGTCAATACTAGTACACAAGATGAAGTCACAGACAAAACAACAAAAGGTAAATATATATCTTCTTTCTTGTTTTTCAATAAAATAATATTATTCTGTTTAGTTACGGAAGAACGAAATAAATATGCTGTTGAAATTTGCAACCGAATTCGTGATAAACTTGATGGTTCAGATCCTGATCCGTTAACTCAAAGTTCTATTAGTGAACAAGTATAAAAAGAAAATCTGCTTTATAAAGATATTCTCTAAATTTATCTTTTAGGTTCGTTACACTGTTCGTGAAGCAACAGATATCGAAAATTTAGCAACACTTTATGAAGGATGGACATCATGGGTATGAAAAGATGCATAACGATCATTGTGGTTCTAATAAAAGAAAAAAGGTTAAATGAATCAAGAAGGAAGTATTCAATGGCAAAAATCATTTACTCAGAATTAACTATTGTAAACAGAAATAAGTTTATATGACACCGTATAATGATTGGTTTTTTCTTGATTCTTATCATCAATCAGTTTTATTTTATTTTCTGTGGTCGAAGTGTCGAAGTTCGAATGGATATTTTTCTTTTTCTTTTTCGAAATCACCGAATATTTGTCGCTGTCATTCAAAACAAAAACAATAAACTAGAACTATTCCTTTGAAACGATTTGTATTAAAAACATAGTTCATGATGCTTGTTCCAAATTAAACTCTTGACGTACATGTTCATGACATATGAAGGCTGTATATCTCCTTATTAAAATCAAATTGACAGTTCTAATGATGATGGAAGTGTTAAAGTTACTTCAGCCATCGATAGATAAATGAGAAAGCATAGTGGTACACATATCAATATATCTTCAATTGGAATCCGTAGAAGACAATGATAATGATATTACTTTCTTGAGGGTGTAGATGTGGGTGCGGGTGTGTGGTAGTGGCTATGGTTGCGAATGATGTTCTTCTTGTCTTCACACCCACACCCACTTATATCAAATGCATTCGATGCACTTGATAGAATACGTTTTCTAGCTCTTACTGGGTTAGGTCCCGTTTCGTCGAAACATTAATTGATTTTCCCGTTTCGTCGAAAATAAATTTTTCTTTCATTCCCGTTTCGTCGAAAATGAAAAATCGACTGTTCCCGTTTCGTCGAAAAGATAAATCCTAATTAATCAAGGAAGAATACATTATATCACTTGATGAGATTTTTTCGTCATTCTAATCAAGAGTATTGCCTTTATAGTTGTAGATAGACTTACGAAAAGAAATTAATAATATAGCAGATTAAGATACATAAATAAGAAATTATTAAGAGAAAATATACACAGAGAAAAGACAAAGTCAATATTTTTTTATTCCGATTAATCGCATTACTTTTTCAAGATATCAGCCAAAACGGCTAACGGTCAACCAACATGATTGAAGTAGAAGTTGTTTTGTTTTCAAAACAAACTATACTATCTTGTAAAACACACTTTTCTGCATAAGAAACGCTATTTTGATTGGT